GCCCCCGGCGCTCCCGAGCGAGGGCGCGCTGCCCTCACAGCTCGGGGACGGCGCTGCGCCCCGCGGGATGGGAAGTTAAAGCAGCCCTAATTAAAGATCGGATTTTAGAGAAGCCACGCTGTCACTAATTCAGAAAGAGCTGCAGTTTTAGTACTGTGAACTATGCGCAGGATTTCCGAGGATGTCCTTCCAGAGCTCTGGTCACACGTCCTGACCACTAGCTCTGCTTGCCTATTTGTTTCAAAAGAGCGAGTTTTGTGTTTCCTAGCACAGTGAAACGCCATAGTTTTTTACACTAAAGGTGGAGATTATTTGGTTATTTGCATTACTAGGTCTCTAGAACTGTTTTCAAAGCGGTCTCCTGTTACAGATATGCAAGAGCTGAACCCTTGCTTAGGTAGGTGATACATTAAGTCTGTAGCTGGCATTAGTTTGACTTCTCTTTGTATCTGTTTTAGGTTCGAATAGCTCATAACGAACATCATCACTGTCAAATGCAATGGAAGAGGGCAAGGTTGAAGAGGTGCAGGATATTGTACAGCTGAATGTGTGAGACTGTTTGTACACAGCCAGGCACAAGTCTCTGTGCCGCTTTAAGGACTCCATGCTGACTTCCATGTTTAGTGGACGCTTTCCTCTGAAAGTGGGTGAATTGGGTAAATACATTGAAGCTCTAACTATCATATTCTGACCACAGAGGTTTCTGGCAAATACATGCTTTTATATATATTTATGCATTTTACAGTATATCTCTTTTCCCAGTCTGCTGAGCATCAGTTGGCTTCTAATTCCAGGGTGTAAAACAGTTCTGCATGCATGACTTTATATGTACAGGTAGTTAATCTGAATTCCACAAGTTTGCTCATGCTTGCAAACGCACACATTTGTACAGTGCCACATCCAAACTGTGGTTTTGGAATGTACTTCTTCAGTAAGAATATAAAAATACGTAAAATTGAAGTTGGCAGAGTATTAGGCATTTATCTTGGATTCTGTCTGTGAACCCCTGTAATCTCCAGAGACATCTCATTCCCTCTGTTCATTACATAAAGAGATTTGGGTCTAATCTTTGTTTCAGAGTACCTCATTACTCAGTAAAAATTGCATTTTTCACTAGTTAAAAGAGATGATGAATGAAGAATAGTAATTTATTGTTGCATACATTAGACTGTTCTAAATACCCAAAATGTTTAACATAAACATAACATAGCAGGACTTTGCTACCATCTTTCACAGTTCCAGTGATCAGCCTGTTGTACAGACCGTATGGTTTGGCTGGTTTTCTTGGGGTCCTTGAACCCTTCAGACAGGAGAGAGAACAGTATAACTTGAGCAATACTCAGGGGAGGTTTGACTAGGTGTGTACTGGAACTGGTGCTAATTTAAACTCTCTTAAATGGTCTAGAAGTAAAATTGAACAGATCCCTGCAACGGTGAGTAAAGATGCACCTGCAGTTAGAGTTAGAAATGAGTCTAGAATTAGATTTTAGCATTTTAAGCAGAAGAGTGCAGCACAGCTGAGGTTATTTGTTGCTATGGTCCTATGCAGACTAGTGATTTCACTGAAATTCCAAAGAAATGTTTACTGCACTAAGAATTTTATCTTTAAATAATAAATATTCAGGTTATTAATGTTAATATATTATTAATATAAAGTTATATCAATGTTATTAATATAACAAAATACCATTTTAAAATAGTAGAGACAGTATACTTACTCCTCCCAAGTAAAACCAGTAAAACCAGAATTTTTGTACAAAAGTCTGTACTTGATGATTTGTTAAATTATTTTAATATTAATAATTATATTATTACGTTTTTATAGTATATTATTATATTAATATTAATATCATTATGTTTAATATTGTTTTTTAATAACTTCATGTTTTCAGGGACATGTCTAATTGACCAAGATATAAACCTGTTTGAATATCTTTTGGATTATCTTCATGGAGAAGTTCAGATTCTTGGAGATAAACAAGATTGAACTGCATTGCAGGAGGAAGGAGATTATTTTGGAATCCCTTATCCATAGAGTCTGCCTGATCTTTTGGCCAATGAAATGGAGACACACTCTTCAAGGTCCAGTATAGAGCTTAAAAAGGTCCAGACATTTCTTAACATTTTTGATGCCGACCTCTCTAACCTCTGCCATTCATTAGCACCAAACACTAAAGCTACAGAATGTCCAAGTTAGCACTTCTTAGTGACCACACTAAATCATGAGTAAATTCAGAGCGTTAAAAAATCCTAGAGTTGATAATGCAGTCAGTATAGTCAAGGACACCAGCTTTTATCATCATTGCAATACAGTAACAGTTCAAATGTGAGTGTTGTACATGCAAGTCTGCTGCAGAACTTGTGTAGTAGGAAGAACATTTAGGTTCCTATTTGGCTTCAAATTTTACTTGAATTTAGATTTGATCTCTTCAAGTTGTTTGGGTTGGGGTTTCTTTTTCAGTTTTACAAATTATTCCTAAAACTCGTAAGACAAAATGTACTCTGACATTTCTTTAGAATGAGAAAGGAGAAAAGATAATTAGTGTATTATTCAAAATACTAAGGTTTTAGAGTATTGTAACTTAAAAGCTACTTCTAATTAACTGGTGGGAAATTAATTCATATTACCAGCTCTGGCTGTGTTAATTCTGACAGTCATCTGTGTTCCCTTAGCAAGTTATTTTCCTCTGTATTTCACATTCTCCCTTACTTGTTTCCTTTTGAAAAGTGTAAAACAATTCCAGGCCTTTCAGTTTCTCTGCATGTTAAGGAGTTGCCCTGCCTTTAACTATTTCTGTTGCCTCTGTCAGAAGTGTACTTCACTGTGCATCTTTTGATTAAGATAGAGCTCTTTATACTTCATCATCTTTATAATTAGGATGCATATTTTCCTAAATTTAGGCTGGGAACATTAATATTTATTCCAAAAGTATTTGGCAACATATCGGGTATCGGTTCTCGTACTGTGTATTCTAGAAAATAGCTTTTACATAATTAATTCCGTAATCATTCTTCTATGAACATCTATTCCTTCATGAATATCCATTTTTAGCAATAGGCATTCACAGGAGGATTAGAATGTTTTATTTGAATAGCAACAAAATCAGAGTAACATTTTCCTTTCTGCTTCATGAAACATTTACTGCTAAGTCCTTGTAGTTAGGATTTGGTAAAAAGAATGATATATTTCACCAATGGTACATTTCTAAGGACTGAGATAACTAATGACATGACTGTTACCTTTAAAACAATATTTCTAGGGAAGCTGGAAATAACATCCAATATATCAGGAGCTATTATTCAGTAGCTGAGCTGAAAAAGATGATGGATGCTTTTGATGCCTGGGAAGGGAGAGGTAATAATTTTTTGTTTCATTTTTACTACTTTTTAACATAAAAATAAGAAAAATATTTACCAAGTAAGTATAATAAAAACTCTGCATAAACCTTCATAATATTGTAAAATAGTAGTGGCTGTTTGTGGGGAAAATAATGTTTTATGGGATGTTCCACAGAGGGGACAAGAGCTGACATGAATGAAGCAGCATGCTGGCTGTCAGTAATGCTCATGTCAGCAGGTTGAGAGCTGAAATTCTGCATAATAAAATAACATGTATTTATGTATTTAGTCAGGTGTAAACATGTATGGTTGTGTTCTCTCAGCTCATCAGTACAATGCTGCTATGAAATGCAGGTGTCAGCTACTGGAGAGTGCCTCAGGAGCTGATTGAATGTTGGACTCAGGAAGAACACCCTCTGAGAGGCAGTTTGCATCATATGCCTCCAGTTCATAAAAGGTATGCTGATTTGCATAGGTGGTGTAAAATTAATTAACAAATATAGTGCTGTCTTTTTTATTTCCCCTCTATAATTTCAGGTTCCTTAAATATTTATGCATGTTGAGATTTCTCTGTTTTTTTAATTTACTTTTTTATAAAACATCATAGAATACTTAATTGCACATCTGAACCTGGTAGAAAACAAAATATTTTTTTTTAGGCTGCTGAGATTTCTCAGCAGCCTGGCAATGAGTAACTTCAAAAACTAGAGAGCAGTATTAGTTAAATGGACTGCTAAACCAGAAATTTAAGTGAAGACTTTAAAAGATTAACTGATTTTCATGTCTGTGAGATGTCTTCTTTTTAGAAGGAATTTTTAGGTCTTCTTTTCTGCATTTGATTCCACCTCCATCCTCAACACATTACCTAAAAGCAGCCTTTTGCAGGTGCCACTGCACTGTCACCTGAGCCAGTCTACAGCCACTTCGCTGCTACAGTTTTCAGTTTTCAATGTGCCTTCTTAGAGAGGCAGAAGAGATTGATGGTTCTACTCACAGAAAGGCAACCCTGATTGTAGTGATGAGATGTTTGGAACTGTAATTTATGCTTGTTACAGTATCATTTAAACCTATTTGTGAAAGGCTGTTGCAGATGGTCTGTTGTGTAATAATGTTATAAAAATAACAATTTACATGTATAGTTCATTTATTTAAAATTTAAGTTCTTTGGTTTACGGACAATTAATTGACTATACTGAAGTGGAAAGCTGTTTACCAGGTAAAGTAGGTCCTCAGCCAATTAGATTCTCAGGTCCCTCAACAAGTACCCACATAAAAGTCAAGAATTCATCTTCATTAAAGGTAGCTGCTTGCAGTGCTTCACATTCTGCAGCAATTCTTAAACGACCCCATAGTGAAAGTCTGATGCTGCGCAAAGAAGCTTCTGAAACCACATCTACAGCACTCACATCAGTGCTCAGCAAGTCTCAGGCTCCCCATGGAAGGCAGAGTGCTGGCAATGGGACACTGAGCCAAATGCCATTCCAAGCGGCAGGGAGTAAGAAGCCTGTGAACAATGGCACAGTGAAGCTGAAAAGGACTCTGCTTTTTCTTGTGACACCATCTCAGCCACCCTCTTCTGCATCCAGTGAAACAAGTAAACAGTGTTGCTGTTGAAATTCCTATGACTTCTACAGTACTAAATAAGAATCAGCTGTATTAGCAGAAAGTATTACACTAAAGACCCATAAAGTGGAAGGATAATGTTTAACTCAGTCTGATAGACTGGACAGCTCTGCATTATATGGTCGAAAAAGGGATCATTATCTCATGTGATCCTTCATTCAAAGATTAGATAGAAAATTGTGATGAAAAAGATAATGAAAAGCACAGGAAGAACACTTATTTTAAGTGAGCACTGAAATATGTTTTCTGCTTTACTTCTATTTTTTTAGATGCTGGGAAGAGAGGAAGAAAAATGGATTAAAAAAAATCACTCAATCAAATGCAGTTTAACATCCCAGTGATCCCTATTTGTACTTCTGTTGGGCTGTACTGTATAGTGAGTACTTGCACAGCATAAAAGAAAACCTCTTTATCAACTTTAACTACACTGATCCTCAATTTGTACCTTTAAAAAGGGGGGGGAATACATAAAAATAAGTAGCTTTTATTAGATATAAGTTTACCACAAGTGTACAACTTATGCTGCTGTAGAAACAGCAGAAGTTGAATGCACTTACTGGCACTTCTGGTGAGGGTAAATTTTTGCTCTTACTAGCAAGGGATCACCTGTGCTTGGATACTGAAAGAAAATTCAGAAATACAGGAAGAGAAGAAGTGTGCTGTGTGAGTAACAAGGCTTCTGTTTCTGGAGAGACACATATTTACAGACACACACGGATCTGCCGCTGGGGCGAGGCTGGTGCAGCTGTGGCAGTTTGTGTCACACAGCTGGCGGATGGCTTTTCTGGGGCTGCAGGGTCTGAGTTACACCTGGCCTTCCATGTCCTTCTGCAGGTCTTTTTTGATCAGTAGAGCACAACCTCAACTTGTGTGCAGCAAAGAAAACTTGTGTGCCATGGTTTGAAGAAGTCTCCCTCCTTTCCCTCTCCGTGCAGACAGGAAGAGACATTCTTGTAGCAGGGCAAATGTTGACTAATGATACTGAAACAAAGAGCTGCTGTATGTTTCTTTCAGCAGAGGAAAGGCAAGTTTGGATCGTTGATTTTCAAGAGCCCTTTTAGTTGTTTGAATCAGTGAACAAAATCTGGCTTTGTTTTGTACCCTTGCTTAGAGTTGGGTGCTGGGGTTTTTTTTCTGTTTTTACCACTACTTTTGCTCCTCCAGCACAGTAAATACAGCTGTCTCTGAACACTAAGAACATTGCCAAAAAGCAAGTTCTTAAAATTCCTTAGACTATTAGAATTACAGAAGGGTTCTTTAAATGTTTTATTTGCTAGATCATTTAAAGCCATCACATTTTCAGGTGTTTCTCCTGACCATAAGGACTTGAAACATAAGTCGCACAAGCGAAAACTCCCAAATTTTCATGTACTAACATGTTTTAATGAGACATTTTGCCATGAACAGTAGTCACTATAAAGGTGTAGAGCACTATAATTTTCTGCTATTGATCTGTATATGGAAGATCAGCTGACCTTTAGAGGATTTAAACTAGTGTTTTTTCTTTAAAAATAAACCTGAAGATCAACAACCGCAAGGCTCTTCCTACCTCAATGAAAGTTTCACTGAACAGAGGACAAAGCAGAAATTATGGAAGGATACTAACATAATGTACTCTAGTATTCTTTGAACATGCAATTCATCATGATTAAGTTTGTGAAATTTGTTTTTCATAATAATCTGACTGAAAAGCAGTTTTTAATACTTATCTTCTGTGTGAGTTTTACTTCATTATTTATTCAATAGCTGAGCACTTTACCATGCACCTTAAAATGTTTTTACAAGGCTTTCTAAAGCTGATTTCTTTCAACTTTAGAATTTAGAAAGCATCTATAAACAAAGAATCCAAGAATGTAATTTAGGTGAGAAAAGACATACAAGAAAAACTTCGAGAATATTCCTACAGGACTTTATGAGTTTGTACTACCTCAGTGTTTACTGAGTTATTTTTACTCAGTAAACAGTGTTTACTTAATTATTTTGGTAGCACAGTGTTTTTTTGAGTAACATTTGTGTCATTTGCATTACAGCAGCATTAACGAGTCTTCTCTTTGTCCTGTCCACACTAGCTTGTGGTTAAAATAATAAAAAACAACCCCCTTGAATTTCATTTCATGGTGAAATGACAAAGTGGCTGTGCTGAAGGTAAAGAAATGACTTGATTTTATTTATTTATTTCCACTGGATGGAGTGCAACCATGGCCTTTTAACTTACCTAAGTAGGCACTTCCAGCATGGCTTTTTTATATCATAGAATCTTGTTCAGTTTCTATTAACTGCTAAGACTGATACTGAACCATTTTATGATCAGAATCATTGGGTTTTCTTTAAAGGAGACATTTTCAGGCACATTAAGTGTTGAGTTTTTTATCTTTTCTTTTTCCCAAACTTGGTTAACTAATGCAAGTTTTCCATAGAGCTTGACTGCATTAAGTTGATGCCTTAAGTATAACTTTCATATTTTTCAGATTCTGTGCTGCCTAGTCCAGTCCAAACGCAGCTGAAAGCCACCCAGTGATACCAGCTCCACTATGCAAATACATTTTGAGTAAGAGCACAAGGTTAGGCACTGCAAAGCAGCAAACACCAGAGTATTTTAGAAAGAAGATTTTAATTATTTGGAAGAAACAGGTTTTCTGAAATACAGACTCAGAACATAAAGACTAAGTAATTTATTAGTCATAGCTCTTGTTATGGACAGATGGTTCCTACAGCAAAAATATAGAAAAATAATTTGAATTCAAGTCTAGAAGACCTGCAACTTTTCATATGCAAAAAATAAATCCAACTAGTCATAGAAAAGTGGCCGATAAGGATGGAGAACAGGGCTGTGCATCTGAATAGCCATTACTATATACATTCCAAACTTAAATGAGCATATTTCCTCAGCCTCATAAAAATAGTTTGTCCATGAAAAATACCAATATGTAATACATTTAATACAATTTATACTTGAATTTAAAGATCTCAGATTATGGAATAATTAGCTAAAATCAAATGAACTGCTTTTTCAACTTTTCTTGTATAGAACAATACTCTCTGTGTATACAGTGTGCATGCATGTACGTGTATACACGCACAGAAAGAAAGAGATGTATAGAGATTTGCTGAAAAATTCTACAAGATTATTTGATTTCATCGCAGACCACAGCATAGAGACTTCCTGGGATCCTTCTAACACAGGCTGTTCTATGAAATAATAATGCTGACTGGTATAACCACGTATCTACAACAGGTTTCTGCTATTGCAAGTTTAATTATCAATTTATCTTTCCAATCTAGATTTTATTTTTCTAAGAAGTAAATGCTGCTTTGGTAAGATTCCATACAGTTGTGACAAAATAAATGTGAACATACTGGGGAAAGCCTTGAAAGTATGATTTAATTTTGATAATTAGTAAGTAATAAAGATACCAACAAGTTTTAAGCAGCAAAAGATTTAAAAGACTATGTTCTGACTTATTTTCTTCAACAAGCTTTTCAAGCAACAAACTAAAATCAAGAGATTGAATTTTACTGCCTGCCATCACTGTGACATTTTAAGCAACCAAAGTCACAGCTGGCACTGAAAGAACAGTGGCATCAGCAGAGACCTCCATCCTTGCAGGACATAAATTGCATTGTGCCACCCTGCCAACGCTGCCTTGGAAAGGCCTGTGCTCTGCGGTGTCCGGTGTGTGATGCTTCCGTCGGGACTTCTCCGAATGCGCTGGATTCTCTGTGGTCCTTGCAGCTGTAGACTGCTCTTGATTTTTCATAGCTCCTTTATTTTTAGATCGAAAGCTGTTATGCTGCTGTCTTCTCTGCTCAGACCTGGAACCACTCTTTGTATTTTGATCTGCCTCGTTACTGGCACCTTGTGACTTATGAGATCCATTGAGTCGCATGTTTTGGTGCTGTGGGTTGAATCTTCGTCTCTGGCTAGAAGGCCCATTCTACCCAGAAAGAAATTGGATAACTGTTAGGTTGTCTGAATCCTTCTAACAGGCCAAGAAACACAGCAGTCAAAATTAGCAGTGTTACTGAAAGGAGGGAACAGGAGACGGAAAACACTAAAAAGTTTTGGTTGTTACCAGATTCTCTTTATAGTAACTATAACCAGAACTATGAGCACCATACTACATCTGAGTAGCCTGAAGACACAGATGGGAGGTTCATCACTGACGCCAAATTAAAATCTGCCATGATTCAAGAGAATACAGAAAAGGGGATGAAATTCTAGACATCTCAGCAAGAGTTGTTGAGGAAAGGGATCCGCAGGTTCTGGTCAACAGAAGTTAAATAGGAGTCAGCAGTGCCCTGGCAGCTGGAGGGACATGCCTGTCCTGGGGGCATCAGGCACAGCATGGCCAGCTGGGCAAGGGAGGGGATTGTCCTGCGCTGCTCTGTTCTGGGGCAGCCTCACCTCGAGCATTGGGGGCATGATATAGAAAAGACTCTAAACTGTTAGAGAGGGCCCAAAGGAGGGCCGTGAAGATGGTGAAGAGCCTTGAGAAGCTGAGGAGGAGGAGGAGCAGCTGTGGTCACTTGGTCTGTTCAGCCTGGAGGAGAGGACACTGAGGGGAGACCTCACTGCAGTCACAATTTCGAAGTGGAGGGGCAGGCACTGATCTCTTCTTTCTGGTGACCAGTGACAGGACCAGAGGGAATGGCCTGAAGTTGGGTCAGGGGAGGGTTAGGTTGGGTATCAGAGAAGTTCTTCACCAAGAGGGTGGCTAAGCACTGGAACAGGCTCCCCAGGGAAGTGGTCCCAGCATACTCATTGTGGAAGACATGTCCATTGTGGTATTTTGCTCAGAGGATGCTTTGATTCTTAGTGAGAAATGGCTGAATTACTTTTATTTGCATGCCTGACAGGACAGGTGACTCCATACGTACACTGACATTATGCAGCATCTTATATTTCCCTTCAGGCATCTACTTGAGCCTAAAATTCCTACTGGGACAAAATTCAGATCAACTTTAGTGGCAGCTTTACCTAAGAATAATAGTACAGGGACATTCTAAGGTGCTATTACAACAAAATATAATTAATATATGTATCATATATATATAATATAATGCTACAAATATAGCACAATACTATAACCTGTATTATAGAGCTTCTGAAATAATATACTTTTAAACCTGGCAGGATTCTACTTTCAAAGTGTATCTAGTAACTGTGCTTCATCAGCAAAACAGCTGACCATTTGTCAAGGACTAAATGTTTCTCCTCCATAGCAGTTAGCTATAATGGAGGTATTTTCTTTTTCACTAT